TCCTTCGAGGCAGCTAGGCGATGCCGAATGTGTTGCCGAATCGATGTCATTGTCATGTCTTTCGAGCCAGCGGAATTCTTGGCGGAATCATCCACATTCATTGCAGCTGAGCTCGATGGCGATGATGCGCCCACTGCGCCGAGTTCTTCCCGTGCGGCGGAAGTTTGGACCTCAGGTAGCCTCGGCGGTGTGGAGGCATGTCTGGGCGGGACCTTTGGACTATGACCCCAATTTTCTGAAAGTGCCCTTGTACCTCTGGGAGAGCTTGGTCTGTCGCTGAATTGCGAGCGGTCGCTCGAAGGCGGCTCGGGTCGGCCTGAAGTCAAAGGCTTCGAAGCCGCGGAGCCGGGAGCAGTGCTGCTGCTGTCTGAAGCACGAGTGCCAGGAATGCCGTCGAATGCATCGGCGTTGAAAGAGCTCAGCCCAGCCTCGAGATTGAGCGACAGTTTCATTTGACGGCGAGGTCGAGAGCCTGAATAAGAGCTTGTCCGATCAGAAAGCTGCGTTTCAGGCAGCGCTTCGTCAGACTTGGGCTGGCCAGCAGACGCGGCGCTGGAATTTGGGCCTGATGGCGTGGGTTCCTGCGAAGCTTCGCTTGCTTTGAGATTTTGAGCTGAAGACGACGGCCTGAGCGTGTGAACAGATCGCATATCTGAATGAGGACGTGGATTTGTAGTGAACGATCGCAGATGAGTGCTTGTTGATGGACTGGTCGTCTGGGGAGCCAGACGTGAAAAGCCAGACGCGCGGGACGCCTCATTGTGTCCAGGAGTCATGTTTCGCTCATAGAAAGAGGGCGTGGCGATTGAAGCTGCGCTTTGAGGTGGAGATGGCTGTGCGCCGACAAATCCGGACTTCACGGCTCCCCACCACGCTTCTATCTTCGAGCCGAGATTGCGCTTGCGTCGGCCGCTCGACGACCCAAATCCTGGAGCATAGTCAGTGCCTGTGGAGCTACTTGCAGTCGAGCCTGCGCTGACCAGACGTGAAGTGATCGGAGAGAGAGAGAGGTTGCGGGGAGAAGGGGCGTGGGAAAGGCCCTGTGAAATCGGCGGCTGCGAGCTGCGCGGCTCGATGCCCAACGACTGTCCTAATGACATGCTTCTGGAAGGCTCGCGAGCAACTCGTTGCTGCGAAAAGCGGGACAGTTCTGACGGCCGCCTTGGCTGTCCTCGAGACCGAGGATCCGGTAAAGAGGGGCCACCGACTCCAGGGCTGGTCGTTTCTGCGAAAGAGCCGCGCGTGTCCATTGATGCGAGTTCGAGCTGCGGGGAGACGTTCGGCGCCGGTTGCAGCACCGCCTGATCAAGCGGTGTCGCCTCCGACGGTGTGCGCTCTACGGGTGTCAAGACCTTCGCTGGCGTCGCCTCGGGCGGATGGGACGCCCGTTGCGACCGAAGCTTGGCTTCTTTCAGTCGACGGTACTCGTCCAACCAATCGACCCATTCGATCTCCTTGCCAGCCTCATCAATTGTGGGATCCTGGAACTCAGAAACGATAGGAGGCGAGGTTGCGTCTTGTAGAGG